TTGTTTGGCGGGCCCAGGCTGGGGATTTGAACCCGCCACCTTAGGTGTATGTGGCTGGCGCCTTAGCTGCTTGAGCCACAGGCGCCGAGCCACCCTGAGCCTTTTCTTATCTTTTGAGGTAAGAAGAGTCTCATGTAGGCCACAGATACCTGGCCGGCCTGAGTTTTGTATCCAGTCAGCCAACCTGTGCCTCTTTAGAGGACAATTTAAGCCAGGCGTCCTCAAACTATGGCCGGCCAAGGACATTTATCCGGCCCACCAGGTGTTTTTGCCACCTCTGCCTGTCCTGCTTAGCAGCTGACTCATCCCAGGGCCCGCAGTCCAGCCCTCCAATAGTCTGAAGGACAGTAAACTGGCCCCTTGTTTAAAAAGTTTGAGGACCCCTGATTTAAGCCATTCACATTAATTGGGAGAATTGATAGGTATGGTAGTGTTTTGGCTGTCATGTTTTTCAAAGGGCCAGGGCATCTTTTTAATCCTTCCACCCTTGTGGAAGTTAGGTTTTGTTTGATAAATTCTGGGTGAGTTTACTTTGGTGGTAGACCATTGTGCTGGTCTGAGTATTTCCTGGAGAGCTGGTTTAGTTATGACGAATTTCCTCAACATGTGTATGTCAGTAAAGTGTTGGATTTTTCCATCACAAATGAAACTCAGTTTATCTGGATTCAGGATCCTGGGCTGAAAATTGTTTTGTTTAAGACGATTGAAGGTCGATGACCATCCTCATCTGGCTTGAAAAGTTTCAGCTAAAAGATTTGCAGTCATTCTAATATTTCTCCCTTTGTAGGTAATGCTTTTCTTACGTCTGGCTGCTTGCAGGATTTTCTTCTTCACATTAACTTTAGCAAAGTGAATTACAATGTGCCTAGGAGATGCTTTATTTGGATGAGTCTTTCTGGGGTTCTGAAATTGTTAATTACCTGAATTTCTGTATCTCTTGCAATGTATTATCCTCCATAATATCTTGGAATAGATCGTCTGTGCCTTTAGGACCATCCTCTTCTCCTTCAGGACTTTCTATCAGTCAGATGTTTGATCTTTTGGACTGATCCTACAACTCTCTCAGGGAATATTCTGTTCTTGTTTTCCATTTTTCTGCCTCTTTGAATGCTTGGGATCATTCAAAAGCTTTGTCTTCAATTTTTGAGTTCGTTTCTTCTGCCTACTCAACTCATTACTCTGGGATTCTACTATATTTCAAAGTTCCTCGAGGCCAGCCACAGTGGCTCATGCCTGTACACAGTGGCTCCCAGGCACACTGGGAGACTGAGGTAGGTGGATCGCTTGAGCTCATGAGTTCAAGACCAACCTGAGCAAAAGCGAGACCCTGTCTCTAGTGAAAATTGAAAAATTGAGGTAAGAGGATGGCTCAAGCCCAAGAGTTGGAGGTTGTTGTGAGCTATGACTCCATGGCCCTCTACCCAGGGCAACAGCTTGAGACTCTGTCAAAAAAAAAAAAAAAAAAAAAACCAAAAAGCTCCTCGAATAACTTTTTCACTTCCTTGAGCTCTGCTATATCTTTTCTCATTCTATCCATACCCTTGGTAACTTTATCTTTGAATTCATTAATTTCCTGAGACAATTTTTGAACTACTCTTTGGATTTTTTTTTTTTTTTTTGTGAGGCAGAGCCTCAAGCTGTGCCCCTGGGTAGAGTGCTGTGGCATCACAGCTCACAGCAGCCTCCAACTCCTGGGCTTAAGTGAGTCTCCTGCCTCAGCCTCCCAAGTAGCTGGGACCACAGGTCCCTGCTACAACGCCCGGCTATTTTTTGGTTGCAGCCGTCATTGTTGTTTGGCGGGCGGGCTGGATTTGAACCCGCCACCTTAGGTGTATGTGGCTGGCGCCTTAGCCACTTGAGCCACAGGCGCCGAGCCTACTCTTTGGATTTTTATTTCCATCATTTCCTCCATTCTATTCATCTCATTTGCCATCCATATTCTGAATTCTGTTTCTGACAGTTCAGCTATTTGTCTATGAATGGCATCTTCTGTTGTGTCTTCTTTGTCATTCCTCAGGGGAGTTGATCTATTCTGATTATTCATGTTGCTAGAGTTCTTACACTGGTTCCACCCCAAGAGTGTGTTCTGCAGTTTGGCAATTACAACTTGAAGGGTGAGTTTGGATTGGGGTCCCCAGGAGGTGGAGTTAACCAGCCCTTTACCAATGAACTGGGGCTTGTGATTGTGGATTTTCCCCTACAACCTTACAAAGGTCCCTTTCAGAGCTGCAGCAAGAGACTCTGAGGACATGGTTGGTGAGATAGTGTAAGCTGGCTGTGTGTGTGTGTGTGTGTGTTTTTTTAGACAGAGTCTCACTTTGTTGCCCTCGGTAGAGTGGTGTGGTGTCACAGCTCACAGCAACCTCCAGCTCTTGAGCTTTGGCAATTCTCTTGCTTCAGCCTCCTGAGTAGCTAGGACTACAGATGCCCGCCACAATGACCGGCTGTTTTTTTGTTGCAGTTTGGCTGGGACCGGGTTCAAACTTACCACCCTCGGTATATGGGCTAGTGCCCTACTCACTGAGCCATAGGTACTGCCCAGCTGGCTCTGTCTTGAAGTCAGCTAGCTTCTACCCAATCCTAACGAATTGCGGTATTAGGCTGAAATCTCAGCTGGGGAGAGATACAAGCAACTGCGGCACCTCGTCCCCCACCAGCAACAGCTGGAGGAGGAGAATCAGTCCTTTCCCACTACAAAACAACCACCACTCAACATCAGAGGGTCCCTGGGTGGACAGCCCAGGCTGGGAGTTGTAATCAGATTGTCCCAGGCAGTGCAATCACTGCTCAACAGGGAGAGTTCATGTGGTATCCAGAAGCCCGATAGTAGAAATTCACAGGCAGTTCTGTCCCGTAAACCCGAAGGGACGGAGCCTGGTCTCCTCTGGTGAGCCACTGAGTCAGAAAATGCCCGCCAAAGTGAGAACAATTATGTCAGTGCCTCCACCTGCTGCACACCACCATGGTGCGTCTCTCTCTCTCTCCTACGCATTCCTCTCTTCTCGTGCCCTCTTGCTTCCACTTGAGTCACTGTTTACACATTGCTGTCCAGTGGCCCACACAATGCCCAGGTCTATAAGGGAATTGACAAACACTCTGGGTTCTGCAGGGGGCAGACCTTCAAACTCCCAGGTAAGGGGGGAAGAGTGGACTAGGAGTTCAGAATTGCGGGGAAAATATTTGTTCAATTTTATGCCAGGCAGGATGATGCCTAGACTCACAAGTGGGACCTCCCTTGAGAAGGAGACTCAGTGTTTAGTGGCTGTCTCCCGTGAGGTAAAATGGGAGGTCTTTTGTTCCCTGCTCACTTGCAGAGAGCGCACAGTAAGCCTCCCGCTTGGAGGAGGGAGGTCTCTCATCCTCTTAATGGGCTTTGTACCTAGAATTTGTTTTATTGGATCCTCTTTCTTGGAGTCACAGCTTGCCTCAGCAGAGATGATACGCACTTGTCTATCTTCTCTCTTAGCTGAGTTGCCCACCTTTAGCTTCACTGAGTCCTCTTCTGTCCAGCATCTCTCCCTCTGGACAGGAGCCTCTGGTGAAAGCTGCCTCTAGTAGGCCATCTTCTTTCCTCCCGGGTGTCTCATTTTTTATTTTGTGTTTCTCTAATACCTAGTTTGAGCATTTCATTATTTATCTGTTATCTCTTTGAGTTTCCCTCCTGTGAATTACATCATTTATAACATTTTCCTTGTTTCAGATGAGTTTCCTCAATTTTCTGTTTCTTACTGATTTCTATCCAATTTATTATTTGCCCTTTTTTCCAGCCTTCTCTTCCTCATTTTCCCATAAGTAAGGGACCCCTGGCGACCTCATCTGCTGTTCACCAGTCTTTTCCTCATCTCTGTGTAATGACCCAGCCACATTGAAATTATGATGGCTCTTCTCTTGACATTTGACACTGTCCCTGCTGGACAAGCCTACTAAGTGAGACCCCTAGAACCAGGAAGATAAGCAACCCCCGACACAGCATCTTTCCAGCATCTTCCACTGACAAAGCTTATCATCCTGCAGGCTTGCAGAAGACAAAAACATTTAAAGAGAATCAAATCCATTTTTACAGAGCAGGCAAAGAAGGGTGGATTTGGAATTGAGAGGCAATACATTGATAACTGGCACAGCAATTCTCTTGATTCCTTAAATGAAGGATATAGAAAATATTTAGAGAACAAATTTAGTGAATGTGGGGAGATAGGCAGAGGAGGATATTTTCTCTTTCAAAAGGATTTTTTGAACATCTGCTCAGAGAAATTCAAAAAATCATACACTATATATGGAAAAGGAAGACAAGTGCATGAAATGTTAACACTCGAGCCCTTTGCGTATTCACTCTTTCTGTTATAAAACTGTGCCAAATTGAATATCAATATGAAGAGTATACAACATCTGCTTTATAAATTCATATCAAATATAAGCTCCTTAGCAGTATACTGAAGTTATAGCAAATATCTAGAAGGACAATACATTTCTATATATACCGAGTAGCAAAACAAGAAGCTAACTATAAACACATGCCTTCTCTTATATAAGAATTTTGAGGTGAACGGGTCCAGTTCAGTAAGTCCATTCTGATCCTGATGGATCATTCACGAACCATGTTCCAAGTCATTGCTCTATATCTCCTAGGGCATTGTTGTCAGCTGCATAGTTAATGTTGGATCACTGTGGAATCCAGTGGAAAAAAGGGAAGAGGAAATAGAGATTTCCCCACTGTTTTAAGGCCTATCTGGAAAGCACATATCACTTCCACTTATATTCCATTGGTGAAAACAAAGTAAGATGCAGCTAAATTCTATTACTATGAAAGATGAGGAGAATAGAGCTCAGCAGAGGGCTTTCAGTTTCTTCCACAAAGGGCTTTCTCTTTCCCATTTTATACTTCTTATTATAAGCGTGTATTCCTGAAACCAAGAGAAGCTTGCAGCTAGTTAAGAGTTGGAGCACAGATATCTATTTACTCTTTGTCTGTGTCAGGATGGTGATGTGCCAACATTTTTCCTGTAGACATAAAGGAATTGGTGTTTGAGGGATATACATTTAATGTTGATGTTCATAATGGTTTAGAGGGAAAGCAAGAAGCAGAGAGATAGTCAGGTATTAGAGCTGATATATAAGGACATGCATTCTGAAATATTTCTTCCATGCCAAGCTTTCGTCTAAACAGGCTTCTGTTCTTCTTCTGATTATCCTACTCACTATCCAGACCTTTTACATAATGGAGCTGGATTCCAAGAGTTCAAATCCTATCTCTCCCATTTATTTAGCAATTTAATAATCTTTAGCAAGTTACCTAACTTCTCTGTGCCTCTGTTTTCTCAGTTGTAAAACAGTTGATAATGGTAGCTATCTCATCGGGTTTAGTGAGGGTTAAACCAGTGGTTACGTGTAAAGCACTTGAAGAGTGCCTGGTGCATTGTAAATGGTATATAAGTGGTTTGCATCTATTAAGTGTTCTATAAGAATTTTGTATTATCGGCTCAGCGCCTGTGGCTCAAGCGGCTAAGGCGCCAGCCACATATGCCTAAGGTGGTGGGTTCGTATCCCCAGCCCGGGCCCGCCAAACAACAATGATGGCTGCAACCAAAAAATGGCCAGGCGTTGTGGCGGGCGCCTGTAGTCCCAGCTACTTGGGAGGCTGAGTCAGGAGACTCGCTTGAGCCCAGGAGTTGGAGGTTGCTGTGAGTGTGATGCCATGGCACTCTCCCCAGGGGGATAGCTTGAGGCTCCGTCTCAAAAAAAAAAAAGAATTTTGTATTATGACATTATTGGTATTATTATTGTTATATGAACTCTTTCATTTTTCTGTGTTCATCCTGTTTGAACTACTCTCTGTCCTTTACTAATTATTTTTTGTGTGATTTTCATTTCTTTTTCTTTTTAGGTGAGGCTATTGAGGAAATTCAACAACAGGGAATTTCTAGAGAAATTCTGTTCCACTGTGAGAGCTTTGACCAACCCATAGAAGATTCATTGTGTCCCATTATAGAAGAACTGTGGCAAGATCATGAACAGCTAGAGAGATATCAGGAAAACCAGAATAACCCTTTAAGTCACATGCAAGTATTGATTAAGGATAGGGGCTATGAATGTAAAAACATCGAAAAAATAATTCATGTGACTGCTGAACTTATTCCTTCAATTGGAAGACTCTGTAACTGTGAAACATTTGGAAAGAGTTTGAAGCATACGTTAAAGTTACATAATCATAACAGAAACAGTGCAACAAAGAGCCTTGGTAAGATCTTTGGAAATGGTAATAATTTGGCCCATAGCTCTTCCTCTACTAAGAATGAGAATACTAAGATAGGAGTGAATTCCTGTGAATATAATCAATGTGAAAATCATCTTGGCCACAAACAAGCTGTCATCCACCATCAGAAAATTCATACTAAGGAGGAACTTTATGTGTGTACTGAGTGTGTAAAGGGCTTCAACCAGAAGTCACATCTCTTTGAACATCAGAGACTTCATGCTGAAGAAAAGTCTCATGAACGTGACCAAAGTGACAAAGTCTTCTCTCAGAAGCCACAAATTGGTGTACATCAGAGTGTTTATATAAGAGAAAAACCTCATTTATGTACTGAATGTGGGAAAGCCTTTACCCTCAAGTCAAACCTCATTACACATCAGAAAATTCATACTGGACAGAAACCCTACAAATGCAGTGAATGCGCAAAAGCCTTTTTTCAGAGATCAGATCTCTTTAGACATCTGAGAATTCATACAGGAGAGAAACCTTATGAATGTAGTGAATGTGGAAAAGCCTTCTCCCAGAATTCAGACCTCAGTATACATCAGAAAACTCATACTGGAGAGAAACACTATGAATGCAGTGAATGTGGGAAAGCTTTCACAAGAAAATCAGGACTCAGGATGCATCAGAGAATTCACACAGGAGAGAAACCTTATGTATGCACTGAATGTGGGAAGGCCTTCATCCAGAAATCCCACTTCAATACACATCAGAGAATTCATACAGGAGAAAAACCTTATGAATGCAGTGACTGTGGGAAATCATTCACTAAGAAGTCACAACTCCATGTGCATCAAAGAATTCACACTGGCGTAAAACCCTATATATGTGCAGAATGTGGAAAGGTCTTCACTCATAGGACAAATCTCACCACACATCAGAAAACTCATACTGGGGAGAAACCTTACATGTGTGCTGAGTGTGGGAAGGCTTTTACTGATCAGTCAAATCTTATTAAACACCAGAAAACTCATACTGGAGAGAAACCCTATAAATGCAGTGGCTGTGGAAAAGCCTTCATATGGAAGTCACGTCTCAAGATACATCAGAAATCTCATATTGGAGAGCGGCACTATGAATGCAAGGAATGTGGAAAAGCCTTTATCCAGAAGTCAACACTAAGTGTGCATCAGAGAATCCACACAGGAGAGAAACCCTATGTTTGCCCTGAGTGTGGGAAGGCCTTTATCCAGAAGTCACACTTCATTGCCCATTATAGAATTCATACTGGAGAGAAGGCTTATGAATGCAGTGACTGTGGGAAATGCTTCACAAAGAAATCACAACTCCGTGTGCATCAGAAAATCCACACAGGTGAGAAGCCCAATATATGTGCTGAATGTGGAAAGGCCTTCACTGACCGGTCAAATCTCATAACACACCAGAAAATCCATACTAGGGAGAAACCCTTTAAATGTGGTGACTGTGGAAAAACCTTCACCTGGAAGTCACGTCTCAATATACATCAGAAATCACATACTGGAGAGAGACAGTATGAATGCAGCAAATGTGGGAAAGCTTTCATCCAGAAAGCAACACTAAGTATGCATCAGATAATTCATACAGGAAAGAAACCTTATGCTTGTACAGAATGTCCGAAGGCCTTCACTGACAGATCAAATCTCATTAAACACCAGAAAACGCATAGTGGAGAGAAACGCTATAAAGCCAGTGACTGAAAAAGCCTTCACCTGGAAATGACAACTAGGCATGCATCAGATATCTCGTAGTGGGGGAGAGGAATGTCTGAGCCTGCAATCATTGTGCAGGGAGAAGTAGATGTGAAAGACTGGCCTGAATGAACAGAAGGCAAAAAGAGTGAAGTATCCCTCAGTGCACTGGAAATTAAAGTTCTTGGGTCACCAGTTGATATGCAGTGATGTGCATAGGGAGATCCTTTAGATAAAGCAGTGGAGCAATAGTCAGTTTGGTTACATGATTGATACAGTGACTCTTGAGCTCTTGCAAATGGTAGAAATAAAGGCCTGAGATGACTTGTCATTTGTTTTATTTCACTTTTTGGATGAAGAACTTTATAAATTCAGCATTGATTAATTCATCATACCCTGGGACATAGAAGTACTCAATATCTAGTCAAATTCATTTCATATTTCTAGGTTGGGAAGAAAAATTTTCATTGTCTAAACACTCGCAGAGCACTGATATCAAGACAGTAAAAGCTATTTGGAAATACAGATCTGTGAGTAGAAGCCAGAAGTTTTTGTGATCACTGATATTGACACAGAAGAGATTTCCATGAGGAAATGCTTTTTTCTCTTCCTTTTGAGAAATCACGGCTCGGCGCCTATAACTCAACCGGCTAAGGCGCCAGCCACGTACACCTATGGTGGCGGGTTCGAATCCCCAGCCCGGACCCACCAAACAATAATGACGGCCGCAACCAAAAAATAGCCGGGCGTTGTGGCGGGCGCCTGTGGTCCCAGCTACTTGGGAGGTAGAGACAGGAGACTTGCTTGAGCCCAGGAGTTGGAGGTTGCTGTGAGCTGTAATGCCACAGCACTCTACCCAGGGGGACAGCTTGAGGCCCTGTCTCAAAAAAAAAAAAAAAAAAAAAGAGAAATCACCAAGGTAAGGATAAACTATATATATTTTTTATTTGTATGTATTTATTTATTTATTTTGAGGTGGAGCCTCAAGCTGTCCCCCTGGGTAGAGTGCTGTGGCATCACAGCTCACAGCAACCTCCAACTCCTGGGCTCAAGTGAGTCTCCTGCCTCCACCTCCCAAGTAGCTGGGACCACAGGCGCCTGGCCATTTTTTTTTGGTTGCAGCCATCATTGTTGTTTGGCAGGCCCAGGCTGGATTCGAACCGGCCACTTAGGTATATGTGGCTGGTGCCTTAGCCACTTGAGCCACAGGTGACAAGCCTATATATATATATATATATATATATAAAGTGAAATATAATATTTAAACTTCAAGTTTGATTTCATGAATTGGGAAATTGGGGATAGTGCTAGCCTAAGTTGAGGCTAGAGAATACGGTCATTGAATATTATAGACATCTAAAGGTGGTGATTGTCTTCTTATTAATTCCTTGCTGTGGGAGCAGGTGAGTTACACCCTTTTAACCTATGTCCCTAAAACTGTCATTTACATAAGCCCCTTAGCAATTAATCCTAAAACAATGGAACTGAGCCACAGCACTCTGGATTTTCAGTCTTGTCCACTGAAGCCTCTACTTTCCTTGTGAGTTCTGTTTGAAAAGAATGACTGAAAAATTGCATTTCAATACATTAAAATTTTGCTTTTCTTCTAATTTGGTTTAGATGTACTTATTTTCTGTATGCATTTTAAGGGTAGTTCTGTGTAGATTGCTATGGGATAAAGTCATGTTGCACTGTAGTGTGTTATTCTAAGTTATAATTATAGTTTATTACAGTTCTCATTTTCCCTTAAGCATTTTTCACCATACTCATAAAAGGGCTTTCTTTCTAGCATGCAGTCTTATTTTATTTTAAAATCGTTTTGTTAAATACAATGCATATGGAAAAGGCATATATCATAAGCATAGAGCTCAGTGCATTCTTACAAACTGCTTATACTCAGATCAAGAAACAAAACATGACCAGCACCCCAGAAGCACTCCCCACACTCCCTTCCAGGCTTCTCCCAACAAGGGTTAACACAATCTTGACTCATAACAGCATAGATTCATTTTGCCTGTTTTGTATTTTATACAAATTGAGGCAAACAATTATATTCTATATAATTGAGTAATACACTCTTAGTGTCTACTATCATTCACATTATGAATGTGAAGTTCATCTACATTGTTGCATATAGTTATAGATAATTCATTCTTATCATGTATCCCATTTCAATAATTTCTCCATTCTGTTAGTTGACATTTGGATTGTTTGCAGCTTGGAATTATTAGGAATAGTGCTATCTGCTGGGGACGATGGCTCATGCCTGTAATCCTAGCACTTTGGGAGGTTGGGATGGGTGGATTGCTTGAGCAACAGCAAGACTACTAAAAAAAAAAAAAAAAATAGAAAAAATTTAGCCAGGCATCCTGGCAAGTGGCTATAGTCCCAGCTACTTAGAAGTTTGAGGTTGCTGTGAGCTATGATGATGCCATAGCATTTTTTATTAAATGATAGCTGTGTATATTAACACAATCATTGGGTACAGTGTGGTGTTTTCATATACAATTTGAAATATTTTCATCAAACTGGTTAACATAGCTTTCATGTCATTTTCTTAGTTATTGTGTTTTACTTTTAGAAAGATTCACTTGTACCCTTGTGAGATAAACCATAGAGGTAATCCCTCCAATCACCTTCCCTCCACCCATCTACCCCCCTCCCTCTCCCCATACCTAGGCTATAATTAGGTTATACCCAGGGTGACAAAGTGAGATTCTGTTTCAAAAAAAAAGGGATAGTGCTACCTAGTAGTAAACATATCTATGAATTTCTGTCAGGCATATAGCTAGGAGTTGAACTCCCAGGCTATAGTGGATCCATAAATTCAGCCATACTTTATAAAACCAGATTTCCAAAGTCACTGTGCCAACATACTCCCACCAATACAGTGTATGAGTTCTAGGTATTCTACATCCTTGCCAACACTTGGTATTTTCCACCTTTTTAAACTGTAGCCATTAATGCTGGATGTGTAGTGATATCCCAGTGGGGTTTCAGTCTTTATTTCCTATTTTCCATCTTTTTTACTGTAGTCATTAGTAATGGGTGTATTGTGATAGCCCAGTGGGGTTTCAGTCTTTATTTACTTGTCCTCTAAACCATTGTATTAATAGTATCTCCCCAGGATAGGTGAATGATGTCTGAGACCTAGGCATGTTCCTCACACGGCTGCACCATTTTACATTCTCACCATCAATGTATGAGGTTCTAGTTTCTCCACATTCTCATCAATCCTGTTATTATCAGTCTTTTTTTTTTAAACATAGTGTCACTATGTTGCCCTTGGTAGAGTGCTGTGGCATCACAGCTCATAGCAACCTCAAACTCTTGAGCTTAAGTGATTCTCTTGCCTCAGCTATGACTACAGCGCCCACCTCAATGCCTGGCTATTTTTGGTTGCAGTTGTCATTGTTGTTTAGCAGATCCAGACCAGCTTGAACCCGCCAGCCTCAGTGTATGTGGCCAGCACCCTACTCATTGAGCTATGGGCACTAAGCCTATTAGTCTTTTTTTTATTATTATTATAGCTATTTTGCCTGTTTCAGGTGTTCAACATGAGGTGATACTGTGACATTAATTTACATTGCTCTAAGGATTAATGATATGATCATCTTTTTCTGAGAATATTTTATGAAGTATTTGTTTAAATCTCTTGCCCAAGGCCGGGCAGAGGGATTCACATCAGGAATCCCAGAACTGTGGGAGGCTGAGGCAGGAGGATCACTTGAGGTCAGTAGTTTGAGACAAGCCTGCACAATAGTGCAAGACCCTGTCACCAAAAAAATCCTTTGCCCATTATTAATTGGGTTATTTGGGTTATTTGTTTTCTTTCTTTTTCTTTTTTTTTTCTTTCTTTCTTTTTTTTTTTTTTTGAGACAGAGCCTCAAGCTGTCACCCTAGGTAGAGTGCTGTGGCATCACAACTCACAGCAACCTCCAACTTCTGGGCTCAAGTGAGTCTCCTGCCTCTGCCTCCCAAGTGGCTGGGACTACATGTGCTCTCCACAGCACCTGGCTATTTTTTGATTGCAGCCGTCATTGTTGTTTGGCAGGCCTAGGCTGGATTCAAACCCTCCAACTCAGGTGTATGTGGCTGGCGCCTTAGCTGCTTGAGCCACAGGCACCGAGCCTATTTGTTTTCTTATTGTTGAACATTGAGAGGATTTTTTTTTTTGCAGTTTTTGGCTGGGGCTGGGTTTGAACCCACCACCTCCAGCATATGGGGCCAGTGCCGTACTCCTTTGAGCCACAGGTGCTGCCCGAGAGGATTTTTTAAAATAGTGAATATATGCCTATAGTCCCAGCTACTTGGGAGACTGAAGCAAGAGAATCACTTAAGCCCAAGAGTTGGAGGTTGCTGTGAGCTGTGATGCCACAGCACTCTACCAAGGGGGACATAGTGAGACTCTGTCACAAAAAAATGTATTTTATTACTCCATTATCCTTACAAAGACTTTCTCCCAGTTACTGGATTGTCTTTTCATTCTCTTATATGTCTTTTGAATAGCAGAACTGCTTATATTGATGAAGTCCAGTCTTTCCGTTTGTTCTCTTATGAGTTGTACTTTTGATGTTGTGTCTAAGAAATCTTTGCCTAACCAAATATTATACTGATATTTTTCCTATATTTTCTTCTAGAAGTTTTACAATTTTAGGTTTTACATCTAGGTCTGTGATCCATTTTGATTTTAATCCATTTTAATCTTTTATATGGTGTGAAGTATGAAACCAAGTTCTTTTATGCTTTGCATATGAATATCCAAATGTTTCCATACCATTTGTTTGTTTATTTGTTTGTTTGTTTTTGAAGAAATAAATAAACTCACTGCACCACCTACAGATTGGCATGGTTTAGTGTCAGCCAGCGATTGGTCAGAAGTTGTAGTGATACACCTCAAACTAGTCTGGCTTCCGCTAGGGAGGGAGATGTGTGAGTTTGGGCACACATATTAAGTTCAGTGTGCTTAGCAGTCTGTGCTGGCATCCATTTCTGTTTGCATATGGTCTCACATTCATACAGAGATGAGTCAGTAACAGGTCCTCTCCAGTATTTTGTGGTCACGATCACAACCTTCTACATATTGAGGAATATGCGGAAGCTTATCAATACCCACTAGTGCTATCTCATTTTCTTTATATCTCAATTTAATTTTGTCTGTCTGTTGCTTACCCAAACAGTGCTGCAGCCCCAGGCAGCTGTTACACTGGCCTTTCCCCCTTATTTGCCAGCAATATTGCTAATGTCTCTTTTCTCTGGAGCTCCAAGCCAGGTCAGTTCCTTCCATTTGTAGTGAGGCTTCCATTCCTCACGGCTACCATGCCCACAGAGCTGGGGATGG